TAGCTGAGAGGCAGCAGGAGCTGGGGGTGCAGGGCAGAGCCCCCCTCCCAGCAGGAGCCTGGCCCAGGAGCAGCACCGCTGCGGGCAGCCCAGGCACAGGGCTGACCCCGCCGTACATTCAACACAAGGGCAGGGGCTGCCTGTGCGTGGACGGAGCGGAAACCAAAGCACTTGTGTGCCCCTACCCTGTCACAGGGAGCCAGGGCAGAAGGCACGACCCCAGGGAGGGGGGACACGCCAGGGTCGGGGGGGTCCTACACCCCAGGCTGAGGCAGGAACTCAGTGCTGCCCCTGCTCCAGGAAGATCCTGATGAGGTAGCTCCAGCCTCAACCCTGCTCCCTACAAGAGGCAGCCAGAGCATCTCAAAGTTAAAAGCACCAGCCCCACTGGCCCCCTCACCCCCCAGAAAGGAAGGTCCAGCTCCCCAGGCTGCTCAGCAGCACCAGTTCCTCCAGCAGCTCTTGCCCATGGAGTGGGGTGGGTCCCACAGGAGCCCTGTCCCTCCCATTGGGTGGCTGGTGGCCATGGCAGGTCCAGGCCAGCCCCCCTACTTGTCGATGAGCCCCCCCTCCTTGAGTTTGAAGTAGAAGAACTTCTCCAGGGTGTTGGCACACTTGCAGTAGTCGCTGTCGGGCGGGTTGTACTCGCGGCAGTTAGTGATGATGCGCTGCAGGTCAGCGATGAACAGCTTCTTGGTGACATAGTAGCGGTTCTTCAGGCGCTCGGTCATGGTCTTCAGGTCTGGGGGTGGGCAAGGGTCAGGACCCCGCCCCAGGCCTCTGCATCCCCAGCCACAGAGCTGGGCACCAAGCACGGGTCCCAACTCATCCTTTTGTCTGCTGGGCTGTCCCGGGGCTCCCACCACCCCAAACGTGAGCCCCCAGCTCAGATCCCACAATGAAGGGGGGATATCCAGTCCCCCCACCATCCTGCCCCGGGGGACCAGACACAGCCACCTACCGATGGGGAAGCGGATGATTTCATAGTAGTCTGGTGCCTCTGACTTCTTCACTGGCTCCATGAAGGGCCATGCACTGGGGTGGGTCTGGGGAGAGGCGGGGGGCAGTTAGAGCAGCGAGCATACACAGCCCCTGCCAACTCCAGCACACAGGGGTCCTGCTCCCCCTGTGCCTGGGTCACCCCAGCAGCCCCTGAGGGCAGAGCCCTGCACAGCCCATCCCAGGGAGGCAGCTCTGAGGGCTATGAGGAGTCGTGCACCCCGGAGTGAGGGTCCCGTCCTGCCCTCACCTTGATCTGGGCCAGGAGGTTCTTCAGAGTGTTGTAGAGTTGGTCCGGGTCCTTCAGCTCCTTCCTGCAGGACAAAGCCAGCACCTGTCAGCCTCTCTCCATTGCAGGGCCGGGCAGTGCCAGGAGCAAGGGGCAGTCCAAGCTCAGCCCCCAGCCCAGCTGCTGCAGGACGCCCACCCCCTCATGCAGTACTCACCCCTTCTCCTTCCCCAGTGGTTTCCATCCTGTTTCTCCTGGAATACAAGTGTCAGTGTCACCATGTTTGCCCTGCAGCCATGGGCAGGAAGGACAGAGCCCTCCTGTGAGACCCCCCCCACCAGGACTCACGGATGCCGGGGACGCTCTCGATGGGGATCTGCCGCACACCTTCCTTGAAGCAGGTGAGGCCTGGGTAGACCTTGCGGATCTGTGCCTGTTTCCTCTCTATCAGCTTCTTGATGATCTGCAGGGAAGGGCGTTGGAAGGGGGGAGATGAGCAGGGGCTGCAGGGAGCTATACCGTGATGTGGAACCCCACAGACCCACCACCCAGGGTCAGAGCCAACCCCAGCCACTGTCAACACCACCAGTGTCCCCTCTCTGCCCTGCAAGCCTGCTCCCAGGGCTAGCACAGCCCCACACCTCTCCCCTGCCTTTGGGGGGTAGCTGGCAGCGCCCACCTGCCCTCCTGCCCAGCCCTGGGCTGTACCTCCTTCTGCTTCTTGATGATGTGGGAGAGCTCGGTGTAGGGGATGCGAGGGTTCAGCTCACACTCCATCAGGGTTGCCCCCTCATAGTCCTTGATGTAGCCCAGGTAGCGGCTCTTGGGGACCTTGATGTCCTTGGAAAAGCCCTAGGAGGGAGGGGACAGATGGAAGGGGGCAGCAGGGCAGCAGGGCCGGTGGGGGCTTGCCCAGGAGAAGGAGCCCACCTGCTTTTTGAAGTAGCCGATGGCGTACTCGTCTGCATAGGTGAGGAAGTAGAGGATGTTGTGCTTGATGTGGTACTCCTTCAGGTGGTTCATCAGGTGCGTCCCATAGCCCTGGGGGAGTTGCCGTGAGACAGGGAACCCCCAGGCAGCCCGAGTTGGGATGCACAGCCCCCTACCAGCATGGACATGGCAGCTGGAAGAGGTCCTGGAGCAACTACCACCATTTGGGGCTGGACAGTGGTGAGCAGGTCTGGCTGCCCAAGGGGCTGGGGTACCCCTACTCCATCTACAGCAAGACCAATCTGTTCATGCTGGGCTGCTGGGGACCCTCACATGCGCCCACCCCTCTTCTCCCCGCTCTCACCTTCACTTGCTCGTTGGAGGTGACAGCACAGAAGACAATCTCCGTGAAGCCCTGGGTGGGGAACATGCGGAAGCAGATCCCCCCGATCACTCGGCCATCCTTGATCAGTGCCAGGGTCTTGTGCTTCCTGCGGGCAGCACGGCCGAGGGTGAGGAGAGCCCCCCAGACCAGCCCCCCCGCGCCCCTCAGCCACGCACGGGTCAAAGACGAGGCGAGTGATGTACTCCTTGGGCATGCGGGGCAGCTGGTGCGAGAAGACGTTCTGCAGCCCCACCAGCCACATCAGGATCTTCTTGTTGGACTTCTGAGAGAGGGAGTTGCCGATGACGTGGAACTCGATGATGCCGCGCCGCTCCTCCAGCCGCGCCGTCTCGTCCCGCGCCGCGTTGGCCGACAGCAGGCTGGTCTGGGGGGGCAGGGTGGGGGTCACTGGCCCCGCACAGCTGCTGTGGGGGGAGCCCCACTCCACCCTGGCACACTGAGAAAGAAGCTCTGTGGGCCACAGAGAGCACCGGAGCCACCTCAGCATCCCCAGCCTGTACCTCGGGGCCCAGCATGGCAGCGGGGTCCGTGATGGTCAGCATGACCTCGTTCACCAGCTCCATGGGGATGTCTCCCATGACACGGATCCGCTTGGCATCCTCCAGTGTCAGGCTCTCGGGCAGCTTCCGCTTCTCCCCTGGGAGCAGAGCAGAGCGGCACATCCAGCACCAGGAGGGACCAAGGACCATTCCAGCTCTGTGACACAGGCTCACACTGGTCCTACCTGGCAGGGGCTCCGGTGCACTGGCATCCAGGCTGGCAGCTGAGCTGCTGCTGCTGAGCTTCTTGCTGAAGAGCGGAGTGGTGGGCACGGCAACAGTGCTGACCGCAGCTGGAACAGACCCAAGGTGCCCGTGACAGCCAGAAAGCACCTCGTCACCCCATGGCAGCCCAGCCACTGCCACCACCATGGCTCACCCACACCTCGGCCCTTTATCCCACAGCCACCAAACTGGGAGGCTGCTCCCCAAAATACCTGGGCGAGACACCAGCTGGGCACCCTCTGTGGCTGGCACCGTGAAATCGGCCTCCCAGATCGGAGAGTTCTCGCCGTAGATCTCCTCCTCCAGCATGGAGAGGAACCTGGCAGGGAGTGGCACATTGGTGTGCAGGGGTCCCAAGGGAGGAGCCCCCTCAGTACTCCAGCAGCCACCCCCACACAGGGTACCTACTTGGGGAAGTGGGTGAGGATCAGCGTCCGCTTCTCTGGCACCAGCTTGTCCTTCTCCACACGGAACTTCTCCAGCAGCTGCCGGCGGGTGACTGTGAAGATGGACTTAAGGAGGCTGCGCCCGAAGACGTGGGTGGTCTCGTAGCGGGGCAGGCTGTCACAGCTCTGTGGCACATGGCAGTAACACAGCCACCTATGGGACAAGAAGGGGCTCCAGTGACCGGAGACTCCAGAGCATCCATATCCCTCCTGGGACAAGGTTGCCAGAAGGGGAGCAGGTGGATGGAGGGCATGGCTGACATTTGGAAGCGGTGTCCCCACTGGATGCCGGCTCTCCTAAGGGACCAACAATCTGGGAGAGCTGGGGAGAGTCCCAGAGTCAGACCTCAGGGTGGCTGGCTCAGCACCCTCCCTGTCCTCACCTGGTGTAGTTGACTTTGTAGGTGGCCACGTCGTCATTCTGGGAGCGCTGCCGGAACTGTGACGGCGTTTCCAGCTTCCAGTAGTTGAGGCAGAGCAGGAACATCTTGGAGAGCTCGTACATGGTCTGGCGCTCCTTGGGCGGCAAGTGGCTGAACTTGTACTGCACAAAGTTCAGGACTCCCTGGGGAGGGGATGGGGTGGTGGGAGGGTGCCAGGGACTGCTCTGGGCCCTTCTGTGCTGCTTCCCGAAAAGCGAGGGGACCATGCAAGAGCAGCAGAACACAGGACAAGCTATCAGGGCAGTGCACGAGCCTGACAGCAGACTCACCTGCTCAATGTTTGGTTTCTCAAAGGGAGGGCTCCCCAGGGACCCCTCGACCACAGGCTGGCTCATCTGCAGGATGCACTTTCGCAGCAGCTACAAAGACACCACATGGTCACCACAGGCCCAGAAACCGGCTGCTCCAGCAGTGGTGGAGGTGGCCAAATGCTGCCGCGGGGCTGCTCTGATTTCCACAGTCAGGAAGGCACCAGGGTCCCCCTAGGAGCATGCTCGTTCATGCCCTAGAAACCCCCCTCCCAGGAAATTCCAAGCCAGGAGAGCAGTCGCTCCAGGACAGGGTCAGCGTCCCAGGTCTCTGGCTGGGCTGTGGGACAGCTCACAGCCACAGCTCTACCCCCAGCAGAGCACGAGCAGTGTGACAGCAGCCCCAGCTCCCCTGCAATGCCCAGGGACTCTGCACAAGCCCCCCCGGAGGTGGGGCAGTGAGACGTGCCCAGCCCCAGACGCACCTTGAACAGGTAGAAATACACCTGCTTGGTGTCCGTGTCCTCTTCCTTGTGCACGGACATGAAGAGGTTCTCCACATCCACCACCATGCCCAGCAGACGGTTGATCTCCTCCTCTGAGACGTTCTCCAGGTGGGACACGTGGTCCGCTGTGCCGGAGGGAAAGCCGTGGTGAGACGGGGGGGGGTCAGCACCACTGCCCTGCCCAGGGGTCCCGCAGTGGTTACCCAGCGTGTGGCCACAGCTCCGGCAGGGCTCGCTCAGGTTGGTCACTGGCTGCTGCAGGTCCATGCGGGGGGCTGTGGGGGGGTTGGGGTTCTTCCAGCCATTGCACTTGCAGGCGTCGTTGGCCTGGGACGAGGGACAGGAGTGACTGTCACAGTGGCTGCCACGTGCCAAGGCAGCCGCCTTCTCGGGCCGAATGATTTCCCTGGTTCCCACTTAGCCCTGTTGACCCACATCAGCTTTTCTCAGCCCTCACCTGGCATCTCCCACCACTCCGACACTTCTCTGCGTGCAGCCCCAGGACCCTGCAGTGCCTGCCCAGGGATGTCCCTGCATCTCCTTCAGACAACTCAGTGCCCTCCTCCTGCAACCCTTGCCCATGCACAGCCCAGTACTCCCTCCTGTACCCCATGTATGGCCCAGCACCCACTCCTGCACCCCTTGCACCCACCCTCTTGCCCCCCTGAGCCCCCCTCCTGCATCCTATACCCATAGACGTCCCTGCACCCCCGCCTGCATCCCCCACCCAGGTCAGCACCCTCCTCCTGCATCCTTCACCCATGCCCAGCCTTGAACCCCCCATTCCTACATCCCCTGCACCGCCCACCCATGCCCGTCCTTGCATCCCCCCTCCTGCGCCCCCTGCGCCCCTCTCCTGCATCCGCCACCCACGCACAGCCTTGAACCCCACCTCCTGCACCCCCTGCCCCCCCGGTCCCGGTGTCCCCCACCTTGCAAG